CAGACATCAGGGAAATGACGCCCTATTCCATCTCCATCTACCATCACCGGCCCCTTCAAGTTTCACTGAATGTTGAAGAAGGGTGGGAACCTGGAAGGAGGTGTTTGCTCTTTGTGTAACTTTGCCCCCGGGACACAGGCAGTTTTTCCATTCACCACCCCCAGGGAGCTAGTTAAGCAGGCAGCTTGGGAGAAAAGCAGAGATGGTGGAGCCTCAGTATTCTAGGGTGAGAAGTCTCTTTGATGCTCAGAGAATTAGTGGCTTCTTATTACTATGACTTTGAGAGATTGGAGGTAGGCAAATTGAGAAGACTTGGGCCTGGAGCTGTCCTTGAGATGCTGGGGGAGGGTATGTGGTGCTATGGACAGGGAGCTGGAAGTGAAGATGCCTGGGTTCTGGTCAGCCAATGGATAGCTGTGGTTTTGAACAAACTCAGCCTCTCTGAATTTTGGGTTTCTCATCTATTAACATGGGTCTAGTAGTACCAGTATGCCAGAGAGGGTTGCCTGGAGAATTAAATAAGCTCAAGAATGAAAATATGTTTGCATAATAGCCATTTAGTGAATGCTCATGTGATACTTTATATGCAGCTCTTCAAGTGAAGTGGCCTTGTTTTTAGAGCTGAAGGAATGGAGGCCTAGTCTTATTAAATAACTTGCTCAAAGTTGCATTGCTGTGGCTGGAGCTATGGAAGTGCTAGAGCGAGGCTCGGATCCAGACTTGTCTTGCTTCCAAATTCCATACTGACTCTGTTTTGTTGTGTAAAGACTGCACCAGAGAAAGTCTTTGATGTCTCCTCTCATTTTCCCTTCCAAGGTACTAGCCCATCTTTAGATGTTCTACAAATTTAGCTACACTGTTCCCCTTCCCTATTCTGGTAATGCTGACCAAGCTGTTTCTCCACTGAGTAGGGCCATGCCTTCTTAGTTCACTGATGCATCTCCCATCCTCTAGCCCAAGGTCTGGCTCTTAGTGGATCTTCGAAAACCATCTGTTAAACTAATGAATAATGTACCAGGCTGAGAATGAAGGTTTCCAGATTCATTCACGTTCCTGCAAAGGACATGAATTCATCCTTTTTAACAGCTGCATTGTATTCCATAGTGTATGTGTGCCGCATTTTCTTTTCCTTTCTTTTTTTTTTCAGTATATATATATTTTATTGCATTTTAGGTTTTGGGCTACATGTGAAGAACAAGCAGGATTGTTGCATAGGTACATACATGGCAATGTGGTTTGCTGCCTCCATCCCCCCATCACCTATATCTGGCATTTCTCCCCATGTTATTCCTCCCCAACTCCCTACCCCCCACTGTCCCTCCCTTAGTTTCCCCCAACCGAACTCAATGAGTGATGCTCCCTTCCCTGTATCCATGTGATCTCATTGTCCAACACCCACCTATGAGTGAGAACATGTGGTGTTTGATTTTCTGTTCTTATGTCAGTTTGCTGAGAATGATGGTTTCCAGGTTCATCCATGTCCGTACAAAGGACATGAACTCATCGTTTTTTATGGCTGCATAGTATTCCATGGTGTGTATGTGCCACATTTTCCCTGTCCAGTCTATCATTGATGGGCATTTGGGTTGGTTCCAAGTCTTTGCTATTGTAAATAGTGCTGCAATGAACATTCATGTGCATGTGTCCTTATAATAGAACGATTTATAATCCTTTGGATATATACTCAGTAATGGGATTGCTGGGTCAAATGGTATTTCTATTTCTAGGTCCTTGAGGAATTGCCACACTGTCTTCCACAGTGGTTGATCTAATTTACACTCCCACCACTCTCTCCAGATTTTTTAATGATCACCATTCTAACTGGCATGAAATGGTATCTCAATGCAGTTTTGATTTGCATTTCTCTAATGACCAGTGATAATGAGCATTTTTTCATATGTTTGTTGGCCTCTTATATGTCTTCTTTTGTAAAGTGTCTGTTCATATCCTTCACCCACTTTTGAATGGGCTTGTTTTTTCTTGTAAATCTGTTTTAGTTCTTTGTAGATTCTGGATATTAGCCCTTTGTCAGATGGGTAGATTGCAAAAATTTTTTCCCGTTCTGTTGGTTGCCGCCACATTTTCTTTATTCAGTCTATCATTGATGAGCATTTGGGTTGGTTCCAAGTCTTTGCTATTGTAAACAGTGCTGCAATGAACATACCTGTGCATGTGTCTTTATTATAGAACCAACACCACATGTTTTCATGTTCTCACTCATAAATGGGTGTTGAACAATGAGAACACATGGACACAGGGAGGGGAACATCACATACTGGGCTCTGTTGGGGGTGAGGTGTTAGGGGAGGGATAGTAGGAGGTGGGGAGTTTGGGGAGGGATAACATTAGGAGAAATACCTAATGTAGGTGACGGAGGGAGAGGGTGGAGGCAGCAAACCACCATGGCATGTATACTCCTATGTAACAATCCTGCAAGATCTGCACATGTACCCCAGAACTTAAAGTATAATAATAAAAAAAATTGATAAAAGAACAAAAAACAACAACAACAAAAAGAAAATTTGTATGGTATTGTTATGGACAAATAAATAGCAGATGGTAAAATTTGAAAAAAAAATGTACCAGGCATAGAATGTCTTTAAATTTTTGTGAAGAACTCAAAAATTAATTTCAAACTGGAACAAGTTCTTGTTGCTGTGCTACCAAAAGAATAATTATATTTGTAAGGTGTTTTAAGACTTAAGGTAAAGGAATAGATTATGCCCAGAAATAGCAGAGAAGTCTAAGGGGCTTCCTACCATATCTGATGTAATGAAGACATTGTTATCAATCAGAGTCTTAAAATGAGAAAACACAAAAATATGCTTAAAAACTTTTTGCTGTTAATTATGTTGCTCTTTTCATTAAAACCCTCAATTCATTCATGCATTCAACACTATGTTAGATGCTAGAAATCAATCAATCACAGCGAGTCCTTATTTCTACATCCAGTGGGGTAGAGAAACATGTACTCACCCAGTTATAACATAGAGTGACCAATTGTATAAAATAGGTATATGTAGGAGCTTTGGCAAAACAGAAAAACGAACATTATGTTCATGCTTGGGTGCAGCTAGGGAGTTAAGAATAGGTTGAGAAAAGCATTTAGAGTAGAAAGGATACTTGAGCTGATTCTTGAAAATGTAAGTAAAAATGGCCAGGGAGTCATGGGGGAAGAATATTTAAGACAGAGGAACTGTCTTGTGGGCAAGCATGCTACGTTTGGGGATGTGTAAGTAGCCATATGTGACTCAAACTTACAGTGAATATGATGACGTGACCAGAGATAAAGCTGAAGAGTTAGGCTTGCTGTATCTATTGAAAATAATCCAAATTCTGTAGTTTGCCAATTATAGCTTTCTGTGATTTGATCCTGTTCCTATTCTCTAGCACCTGTTAGTACTTCCTGAGGCCACAGACACCCTTGGCTTCTTGCCAATAAAAGTTTATTTCTTAAGCTTAGCACTTTGGGAGGCTGAGGCTAGAGGATTATTTGAGCTCAGGAGTTTGAGACCAGCCTGGGCAACAAAATGAGACCCTGTCTCTATAATAATAATAATAATAATAATAATAATAATAAAATAAAAGCTTATTTCTTCCTGACTCAAAGTCCAATGTGAAAAAGATTTCCATGTGGTCATTCAGGGTCTCAGAATCCCTCCTTCTTGTGGATTTGCCCTCTCTGCTTCCTCAGAGAGACATCTCTCTTTAGTCTGTGGTTGGGTTAAGGTGAGATGATGGTGGATAGGACTCTTATACAGACCAGGCCCAAAAGCAATCTGCATGCTTTCCACCCACGTTCCTTAGGCTAGAACCCAGTTACATGGCCACATCTAGTTCAGAGAAAGGCTGGGGCATATGGGCTAGCTTCGTTCCTAGGAGGAAAAGGCCAAGTGTTGTGAGTGTCATTTGAATAAATCCTGAACCTGGAGAGTGAGGAAGTATGAATATATGTGGGTTTCTGTCAGAGAATTATTGCAGACAGCAAAAATGGTAAATTCAAAGGCCCTGAGCTCCCTTTGATACTCATACATATCCACGATTGCTCAGCATCTGTCAACAGCAAACATAAGAAATCAACCTAAGTGTTCACTGACGGGATAAATGGTAAAGAAAATGTGGTGTATACATAGTAGAATGCTCAGCGTTCAAAAAGAAGGAAGTTCTGTCATTTGTAACCATGAGGATGAACCTGAAGGCTACTGTGCTAAGTCAAATAAGCCAGACACAGACAAACACCAACACCATGTGATCTCACATATATTATGGAATCAAAAAACACCAAACTCACAGGAGCAGACATGGTAGAATGGTGGTTCTGAGGGCCTGTGGAGTGCGGGGTTGTGGGTGAAAGGGTACAAAGTTTCAGATAGACAGGAGGAATAAGGCCAGGCATGGTGGCTCAGGCCAGTAATTCCATCACTTTTGAAGGCCAGGGCAGGCAGATCACCTGAGGTCAGGAGTTGAAGACTAGCCTGGTCAACATGGTGAAACCCTGTCTCTACTAATAACACAAAAATTAGCCAGGCATGGAGACACATGCCTGTAATCCCAGTTACTTGGGAGGCTGAGGTAGGAGAATTGCTTGAACCTGGGAGGTGGAGGTTGCAATGAGCCGAGATTGTGCCACTGCACTCTAGCCTGGATGACAGAGCCAGACTCTGCCTCAAAATACATACATACATACATAAAAATAGGAGGAGTAAGTTTTGAGACCTGTGGGACAGCAGGGTGAGTATAGTCATTCAAAATGTATACTATTTCGTAATAAGAGAATAGTGGTGAATGACATTGGGCCCACTGGAGAGGCAAGCCATGAGAACCATGTGGGTGAGTAAGTGACAGTGGGACACTGCCCAGGATGTTGCTACCAACAGGAGACAGTGCCTGGGTCTCACGGCTATGGTTTAATGGAGTGGATTACAGATGGCCACATAGTGGCCAATGGCCGTGGTAGCCAGAAAGAAGTTCTTGGTGATCTCACAGGCCACAAAAAATACATCTGGGTGAGGCACTGGGCAAAGGGGTCCTTCTTGGTCCTGCTCAACATGTTTGTCAGCATCCTGGACACAATGTTGTTCGTAGAGCAGATGTCCCCAAAGGACAGGTTGGAGAGGAAGAAGTACATGGGAGTATGGAGGTGGGCCTCCCCCCAGGTGGTTACAATGAGTTGGGCCTCCCCCCAGCTGGTTACAATGATAACTGAGTTGCCAGTGACATTGAGAGGTACATGGCCAGGAAGCTGACAAAAAGCCACACCTGTTGTTTGGAATCAGTAGTCCCAGAAGGAGGAATTCAGTCATGTGGCTCTGGTTTCCTCTTGGCATTGCTGTCCTGCAAGTGAAAAATATGGAGTGTTAGGTGTGTGTCCTGGTTTGGAGTCTTCAGTTGCTGTAACTCCTACAGGTAGCTGGCATAGCTGACAGGAGTATGGGTTTTGGCATCACGTGGATCTGACTTTCCATTTTGGCTGTCACTGATTTTCAGTGTAAGCAGAAAGTTCACTTTCTAAACTTTCCTTTATCTATAGAGAGAAATTATGAAATTCCACTCCTAGACTGTTCTGTTTTGGCAAAAAGGATTTCTCTTTTTAATTTTCTAACTGTGGATATCAGAATAACTTGTTCCTGAAGACTATACATTCAACCCAAAAAGTTGGCACTAAGAATATCATCTCTTCCTCTTCTTTAATGCTAAAAAACTCTTAGATTTGCCCTTGTGAGGCTATTTCTAGATCTCATAGGTGTGCTTCATTCTTTTCTATTCTTTTTTCTTATGTCTTCTGTGACTGTGTATTTTCAAACAGAGATAATATTCTTAGTGCCAACAGTTTGGGGAAAGTTTGTGGAATGGGTTTGGGAATTCGAGTAACAATTGTCAGGAGTTCCCTGGATCTGAAAAGTCTACGGTTCTTAAAGATATGATGTATGGTGTGGGGCAGAGCCACTTTTAGGCAGAGGAAAGACATCTGTCTGGGTTAGTGAGGACTTTCATTTTTTTTTTTTCTTTCTTTTTTGAGACAGAAAGACTTTCTTTCACCCAGGTTGGAATGAAATGTTGAGATCTTGGCTCACTGTAACCTCTGCCCCCCGGGTTCAAGCGATTCTCCTGCCTTGGCCTCTCAAGTAGCTGGGATTACAGGTACCCCCACCACACCCCTCTGATTTTTGTATTTTTAGTAGAGACAGGGTTTTGCCATGTTGGACAGACTGGTCTCAAACTCCTGACCTCAAGTGATCCACCTGCCTCAGCCTCCCAAAGTGCTGGGATTACAGGCAGGCGTGAGCCACCAAGCCCAGCAGAAGCCTTTAATTTCATGCAGGTTCGTGACATTAGGAATGTCACAACAGGAGTCATGGGTGCATGTCTTGGCAGTAGATTAGAGTCAAGTTGAGTCACAGGTGGTTGTTGGAGCATGAGAACTATGCAAAAGAGTCAGGTATGCTGGCAGAGAACACTGAGAGGATGGGACAGCAATGTGTTAAGCTTCAGGACCTGAATTCTTGTTCACGACATGGGCACTGAGGAGCAAGATCCAGAGAGAATAAAGCAGGACCTCTGTCAGGAAGGAATTGTGGCTCTGCTCAGAATTCTGTCAAGGCAGACGTTCAGCTGTGATGGAACGTGATCAGAAACCAATTACCTGCCCTCATGCCCAGGATCAGACCCTGGTTATCAGGCTTGATGCTGAGTCCACTCCATTCCTGGACTTAGGTGCCTAGTGTCTACCTTGTCCAGGGCCAAGATTCATTCCAGAGCAGAATGCAGGGAGTGACCTGCAGATGGCTGTCAGTGACTCCAGATAGCAGGTGAAAAAGGGGTATAAGAAAGGTGAGTGAGAAAAGTTCACACCCAAGGACACCTGAGTACTGATGATTTTTAAATAAATGTTGAAAGCATTTAAATAAAATTCTTTACCTTGACAGAGAGTATCTATTAACGTATTGTCTGCAACTCTCTAGGCATTTTCCTAAGATGCAGCCACATAGGTTCCTGAAGCATTTTTTTCCCTCCCTAAAATGCTTGGAATGTTGGACTTGAGTGATTTCTCCTACTAGGAAGGGTGAAAGGAGACATGATTGACATGAAAGGCCCAGTATGTTAGTTCTGCAAGGGCACAAACTTGTCTGGCTATTCAATGCTATGCACAGTTCCCTACTGTATCCTTGTAGCATGTGTCTAAAGAAAATACTGAATGCACAGAGTGTTTCCCATATGCTAGGCACTGTATGGTGATTTAATACACATAAGAACTCACAATAAATGGATGAGGAGACTGAGTTACAGAGTTATTACGTAGATGTCCAATAACTTGCTTAAAATGTACAATTAGTACGTGGCTATAATGCCAACTCAAGCAGTTTGGCTTCAGAGTCCTGCTGTTAGTCATTACAGTACACTAACTCTCTGCCTATTAAATATTTGCTGACAGAACAAAGGCAGAAGTGACAATGGTGTCAGCATCTTGAACGATGTGAGTATGTGGATGCATGACCAGAATCATTCTTAGGATCAGGAGAAATAGTGGGGAGTCCAGGATTTGAATTCTAATCCTGATTTAGAGACTTGTAGCTATTCTTCCTGGAAACTCTTTGCTTCATTTACTTTTCTCAAGGAAAAATGGGAGAAGTGCAATATCATTTCAATCAGAATATTGTGGGCATCAGATAAATGAATATGTCTGAAAAGTGCTTTATGAATGAGTTGATGCTAGATAAATACTAGTCATACAAATAACAGAATATAAACAAAACAAAATAACAAATAATAGTATTCAGAATTAACAAATTGCACTTGATTTAGCTGGGTAAGGTAAAGGAAAGTGAGGAAGAGTATGTATATGTGTGTGAAATAGTTGATATTGCCACTTAAACGTGAGCAGGGGGAAATAGAATTTCCTGGGCAGAGAGGGGCAGGAATAGAGACTTCAGTGGCTTTCCTGCCTTGTAGAATCTTTCTTGCAGCAGTGACTAATACATTAAGGGCCTGATGTGAACAGCCTGCCCATAATCTGGTCACTGGGAATAGTTTCAAAGAACTCAGCAAAGCCAAATGGCTTTTCTTGACCTAGTATTTTTCACTTACTCAAAAATTCTTTGATGTGGGCCAAGAAACTGGCTTGTTATCAGCTCCCTATTTTCTACAGTTATTTCTATGCATCCTCCTTGGTTCCAAAGCAGGCTGTTTTTGAGTTGTGATAAAGGGAGAAATGGAGAAGTAGACAGCAAGAGGCCAGGGGGGAATGAGAGTTGTACGTGTGTGTGGGTGAGCATGTGTGTGGTCAGGTAGTCCTGAGGGCTTTGCCCAAAAAGTTTTAAAGTGAGAAGCACAATGATGACAGCAGAGAGGCAACTGAGGAGTATTATAAGATCCCTGAAAATGTGGCACATATATACCATGGAATACTATGCAGCCATAAAAAACGATGAGTTCATGTCCTTTGCAGGGACATGGATGAACCTGGAAACCATCATTCTCAGCAAACTGACACAAGAACAGAAAATCAAACACCGCATGTTCTCACTCATAGTCGGGTGTTGAACAATGAGAACACATGGACCCAGGGAGGGGAGCATCACACATTGAGTTCGGTTGGGGGAAACTAGGGGAGGGAAACAGTGGGGGGTAGGGAGTTGAGGAGAGATAACATTGGGAGAAATGCCAGATACAGGTGATGGGGATGGAGACAGCAAACCATATTGCCATGTATGTACCTATGCAACAATCCTGCATGTTCTTCACATGTACCCTAGAACCTAAAGTGCAATTATATATATATACATATATACACACATATATACACACATATACATATATGCACACACACACACACACACACACATATATATATATATATATATATATATATATATATATAGAGAGAGAGAGAGAGAGAGAGAGAGAGAGATCCTTGAACCTCAGGGCTCAAGTGGGGTAAGACTGCATTGAGTTCAATTGCATGTTGTAATTGCAAACTCCACTAAGTTCAGCCTTGTGGTTAGGATTGAGGGCTCTGGGGTTAGACAGTCCTGGGTTCAAGTCCAAGCCTTACCAATACACTGTACCAATACAGTGATTGGGCAAGCTGCTTAACTTTTAAGCCTTAGTTTTCTTATTCATGAAACAAGAATTAAAGGGATCTCTTGGGGAACATCACACACCCAGGCCTATTAGGGGGTGGGGGGACTAGGGGTGGGATAGCAGGGGGTAGGGGAATTGGGGAGGGATAATATTAGGAGAAATACCTGATGTAGATGATAGGGGGATGGATGCAGCAAATCACCATGGCACGTGTACACCTATATAACAAAGCTGCATGATCTGCACATGTACCCCAGAACTTAAAGTATAATAAAAAATAAAAATAAATTTTAAAAAAGATGTCTCTTTGCAGTTATGAGGATTGTCATGATATGCATCTGTATCTACGAATAATTTAGGTAGCACAGAATGAGCCCCTGATAAATGTTAGCTGTAATAACTTCTGTTCTTTAAAAACATGATTTAATAGATTTGTGTATATAAGTGTTAGGAAGCTGGCACATAATAGATGTTCAAAAGTACCTGACGTGTATAGACCTAAATAATCTCAGAGCCAGAAGAGAACTCAGAGGTACATTTACATTATTGTGCAACCATCACCTCTATCCATCTCCAGAACTTTTTCCTATCTCTTAAACTCTGTATCCATTAAACAATAACTCTCCTTTGCCCCCTCTTCCCAGTCCTGGGTAACCACTGCTCTACTTTCTGTCTCTATGAATTTCACTACTCTAGGTACCTCATAAGTGGAATCATGCAGTATTTGTCCTTTTGTGTCTGGCTTGTTTCACTTTGCATAATCTCTTCAAGATTCATTCATGTTGTAGTATGTTCAATTCTTCCATTTTTTTTTTATTATTATGCTTTAAGTTCTGAGGTACATGTGTAGAACTTGCAGGATTGCTGCATCGGTACACACCTGCCATGGTGGTTTTCTGCCTCCATCCCCCCATCACCTACATCAGGCATTTCTCCCAGTGTTATCCCTTAATTCTTCCATTTTTAAGGCAAAGGTGCAGTTTTGCAGTCTGGATGTGAACTCAGTCTAATCTTGTATTCAATACTCTGTTAGAAAGTGGCAGTGCC